ACCTTTCCCCATGCTGGCTCAGGAATTCTGGGAGTTGAAGTCCACAAGTGATAAAATGGCCGTACCATGTTTCCCTGAAAATAAGACCCATCGTGAAAATAAGCCCTGGCTTGATTTTTTTACACATGGATCCAATATAAGCCCTACCCCCTCAAAATAAGCCCTACTTAAGACCCCTCCCACTCCAGGGTGCATGGTTTGGGATGGAGTGAACAGATAAACATCAAGCTAGGGTGGGGATGGGGGTGGAGCTTCCCTACCGGTACTTACCTTCGGACAGTTGCAGCTAGGCCTTGCGCACGTTAATCCAGAGCTCGTTTCTCAGCTGCAGAGGCCTTTCCTGAAGGCCTCTGACAGAGAAACTGAGGCCTGGGGCGATCCGCGCAAGCGGCTGCAGAAGAAGCGGGCCAGCAACGGGGTCCTGCTGGGCAGGGCTCTCAGTGCTGCCACCGGAAGATGAGTCAGTGGAAGACTTCCCCTGAAAATAACACCTGGTGCCTTTTTTGGTGGCAAAATATATATATAAGACCGGGTCTTATTTTCAGGGAAACACAGTAGTTCTCCATGATGGCTGAGGAATTCTGGGAGTTGAAATCCCACCCCTCTTAAAGTTGTCAAAGTTGAGAAACACTCCCCAAAGAAATAGGGTGCGTTACTACCGTGTTTCCCCGAAAATAAGACCTAACTGGAAAATAAACCCTAGCATGATTGTTCAGGACGCTGGTAATATAAGCCCTACCCTAAAAATAAGCCCCAGTTAAGATTGTCAGCCAAATGGATGCATTTAATGCCGTATTTCCCCCAAAAGAAGACCTAACAGGAAAATAAGCCCTAATGTGTCTTTTGGAGCAAAAATTAATATAAGACCCGGTCTTATTTTCGGGGAAACATGGTATACTTTCCCTTTAACCCCTCCGCCTGTTTGCAGAAATCGAAATTAACACCTCCCTCTTTAAGTGGGCCTTTTGATCTGAAACGGGGATCCTTTTAGTTCTTTTTCTCTGGTTTATATTTTAGCTGGTTAGCCTTCTTGTGGCGCCCTATGGGGAAAGAAAGAAAACCGATTTTGCTTAATTCAGCTTAATAGCCGGTAATATTCTTTCCTATCAAAGCAGCCGTTCTCTTTATTTACTTGTTAAATTTTTATGCCACCCCTCTCACCGATCAAGTGATTCCAGGCGGCTTAAAAAGATACCCACAAAAAGAATTAACATTTTTTAAAAAACTAAAACCAAGGATGGTGATCTCCTTAGCCCGTCAAATTAATCTGATTATTCAGGGGACAATTTCATATGTGTGTATGTGTGTGAATTTCCAGCCTGTCGCTTTGTTCCACATTCTAGACCTTCAGGAATTGTTTATGTTGAGCACAATTTACGAGCAAAGATGGGCTAAAAAGTAATTATCCATAAAAAAGTGATTATCTGCTTTGTTTCAAAGAATTAACTCCAATTTATATTTAAAAGATTTACGCCTTAAAATATTTGCCAGCTCATGCATCTCCAAGTTCGATCGGTGTCCCTAGATGGCTAAAAAATAATAATGATTTTTTTTTTCCCCCTGGGTTTGGTTTTATTTTTCTCATTTATTTTTTTATTTCTAAGAGACAAGGGAGCACTGGTTTAAAAGCAAGAATAATGCTGGAAGCCGCCCAGAGTCGTGTTGTTTACGAGATGGGTGGCAAATAAATTCAATAAATAAATAAAATAAAATCCGTTTTCAAGCTTTTGCTTGGTGGTGATTCGTTTAACAACTGCGGCAAGAAAGGTTGTAAGATGAAGCAAATCTCACTTAACAAGCATCTCACTTAGCAACAGAAACGTTGGGCTCAATTATGGACTTAAGTCGAAGACTACCTGTAATCCTCTACTTAAAATGGTTCGTTTAGTGATCAAAGTTACAACAGCACTGAGAAAAAGGACTTACGGCCGTTTCTTACACTTACGACTGCTGCGGCATTCCCCAGGGTTGTGTGATCAAAATTTGGATCTTTAGCAACCAGTTCATACTTATGACGGTTGCAGCATCCCGGAGGTCACCCGATCCCCTTTTGCGACCTTCGGACGAACAAAATCAAGGCAGAAGCCAGCTTTACTAAACAATCGTGTTTACTAACTTAACGACTGCAGCCATTCACTTAAGGACGGTGGCAAGGAAAGTCATAAAGTGGAGCACGAGTCCCTTAACCACCGTCTCGCTTAGCAATGGAATTTTTTTGAGCCCAACGATGTCTGTAAGTCGAGGTCTACCTGTATTATACTTCTCTACCGGAAGAGAAGGCCCTGTGGTTTATCTCAGGGGTCCACAAACCGCGCCCCCCCCTCATGGTCCACGCCCAGATCCTGGCCTCTTCAGAACCAGGCCCCACGAGTGGCAGACTGGCACGCAGGCACTGGCGCCCAGTTCAACTTGAGGAAGGCTTGTGCCCGCATGTCCGGGCGCACCAGCTCACCACTTGTGTCGTCTGACCGGGGCTTCCCAAGATCACAAAGCCAACTCCTTGTCCTGAATAAAATCCCTCTTATTCAGCTTAAAGGGAATTCCTCTCCAGCAAAGTCCTGGCCAACAGTCTTTCGAGAGATTTCACAACTACAGACATTTATCAGGCTTGGAGAGTTGCCAGGCCAATATCTTCCAAACGCCATGCTGTAGCAGCAATTACTGGGCAAGGAGTCAGGAACAGACTGTCGCTCTAATGAATTGAACTAATTGTCTCCTGCAAACTTCACTCCCCTTTCGCTCCTCTTTATCCCCTCTGGGAGGGGCCATTCCCCATGCACCTGTGGCTTTACTCCCGAATCAACCCTTGTTCCTTAGCTGTTCCCTTCCTCTGGCAGCTCTGTGCATGCGCACACTGGGAACAGGCTCCAGCTGTTCTTCTTCCCCACTGATCTCCGACTCCGAAGGCAGCTGATAACTGTCAGAGGGCTCTGGCCCCATCTCTGCCTCCAACACAGAGCCCTCGTCAGAGCCTTCCCCAGACTCCGGGACTGGCCCAGTTTAGAGGAAGTTCCTTCCTCCATGCTGGCAGGCCAGCCCACAAAGATTGGAGACCCCTGGTTTATCTGACCTCTCCTGCAAACACTTTACGCCAGGGGTCTTCAAACTCGACAGCTTTAAGACTTGTGGACTTCAACTCCCAGAATTCCTCCTCCAGCCACGTTAGCTCAGGAATTCTGGGAGTTGGAAGTCCACAAGACCCTTGGATTAGATAGATAGATAGATAGATAGATAGATAGATAGATAGAAAGAAAGAAAGAAAGAAAGAAAGAAAGAAAGAAAGAAAGAAAGAAAGAAAGAAAGAAAGAAAGAAAGAAAGAAAGAAAAATAGAAATAGAAATAGAAATAGATAAGAGATGGGATAGAAGATAGATACTGTAGATCAGGGTCTTCACACTTGACAGCTTTAAGGCTTGTGGACTTCAACTCCCAGAATTCCTCCTCCAGTCATGTTAGCTCAGGAATTCTGGGAGTTGGAAGTCCACAAGTCTTAAAGCCGTCAAGTTGGAAGATCCTTTGGTTGACCCCAAGGCTGGAGATCCATGAAAAAGACCGCGGGTTGCATTGTTCTTTGACTAACCGTATTGACCTGTGCTTGCCTTGCAGTTCTAACCGTGTTGTGTGTGTGTGTGTGTGTATGTGTTTTTGTGTGTGTGTGTGTTTGTGTCTCTGTGTGTGTTTGTGTTGTCCTTGTGCCACTTTTGACATTCAGAGTTTTAGTGCCGTTCAGCTGGTGGATATTGAGCCCTCTCTTGTCAGTGCCCTGAGAGTGACCTTAGCGGAGGTATATGGCGTCATCTCACCGTTAACCCCGTGCCGTGGTCCTCTTTGTCATGCATGATGCGCCCCTAGTTATGACGCGACTGGCTTCCTTGCCCCAAGCGGGCGGCCCCTTCACAAATGCATCACAGTGCTCTCCTTCCGCTTCCCCAAATCTCCGTGGTGTTCATTGGGGGGCGTGGAAAATATCCAAATTTATAATTTCTTACAGCGGGCTGTTTTGCTGCCCTTCCCGGCTGGTTGTTTTCCTAGATAAATGATTCTCGCCACATCTCAGCATTTCACGTGGACCCAAAAGATGCAAGGAGTTTTCGTTAGGGAGGCGGGGTGGAGGAGGAGGAGGAGGAGGAGGAAGAGGAGGAGGAGGAGTGCTGATAGAGAAGGGAGGAAGACTGTTGGGGTCCTTGGTGCTCTCTGAGCTTGGTGGTTTTCTTGCAGAAGTTTCATGACCCAACTAGATCACATTATCAGTCTAGAAGGGAGTAGGGGTTTGCAGAGAGGAGGAGGGGGAGGAGGAGGAAGAGGAGGACTGTGGGGTCCTTGATGCTCTCTGAGTTTGGTGGTTTTCTTGCAGACGTTTCATGACCCAACTAGGTAACATCATCAGTGGTAGAAGGGAGTGGGGTTTGCAGGGAGGAGGAGGAAGGAGGGGAGGGGAGGACATTTAAGAAAGGCAGAAATAAAATACAGAGTCAAAAGAGCCTCTCCTCCCAAATATTGGAAAAGGGCTGTGCTAAACGCATGATGGATCCAGCCCACGAACTAGAACACGAAGTTTCTCATTGGTCTGTCCTTCTAAACAGAAAAAGGACCTGCAAAAACTGGACTAGATGACCTGCAAGGTCCCTTCCAACTCCGTAAAGAACCTGTCAAAAAAAACCCTCTTTGCCTGTGAAACGCTGAGATTTAGCCCGATCATTGGCTATTTTTCAACCTTGGCAACTTTAAGAGGTGTGGACTTCAACTCCCAGAATGCCCCATCTAGCGAATGCTGGCTAGGGAATTCTGGGAGTTGAAGTTCGCACCTCATACGGTTGCCATGGTTGCAAAAACGAGGCCTAGGAAATACCAAGAAAGGAAATCTTAAGAGGTCCTGAAATCAACACGAACCTATCAGGATTTGGCAGTCAGAATTCTCTTTCAGACATCGAAAGGACGCCATTTCCTTGCTCAACGTCCAGTTGACAAAACAATTATTAACATTATTAACACAAAACGAGACGCAGGGAACTCATCCAAGCAGTCCTTGCTTACGGCCATTTGTTTAGTGACTTTCAAAATTACCACCGCACTGAAAACAGTGGTTTTTTTAGGGCCGATCCTCACCCTTACGACCATCACAGCATTCCCCGTGGTCACATGATCTGTTCAGGCGCCTGGCAACTAGCATGTATTTATCACGGTTGCAGCGTCCCAGGGTCACGTGAACCTCTTTTGCCACCTTCCGAGCCGGCCTGTGCCGAGAAAATCCTTAGGAGAAGATGGGTTTGCTTAACGACCATGTGCTTCACTTAACAACAGCAGCAGTTCGCTTAATAACTGTGGCAAACCCAGTTGTAAAACCAGGCCTGTGTCACTTTAAATAAGCTTGCTTTAACAATGGAAACATTTTTTGGTTTCAACCCTGGTCGTAAGTCAAGGATCTCCTTTTGGGGAAAGTTCCTGTTTCTCTCTTTTTAATGTTTTATTTCCTTCCGTGGAAGACTTTCTGGAGAAGTCTGCAGGATGAAAAATAGGCTGTGCTGTCTTTTTTTTCTCTCACAGGCCCATGAATAATGTTAATTTCTAGGAAGCAGGAACGGAGAACTGTTATGCATTTGGCCACCACATTTTCATTTTATACTGCGGAAGCCCTTCAGGAAGCTGCTTGCTTGCTTGCTTTCCATGGAATATTGCATGATTATTTTCGTTGGGCGTTGTGCCAGAGACGTTGCTTGCCATCATCTGTTTACTGCATAATCTTGCTGACCTGAACTGAAATCGAAACTTATTTTTCTCTACAGGGGGAATGAAAAAAAAAATGTCCTTTACTGCAATTGAAACAATAATTAACGTGAATATCAAATCCTTCTCCCTAGGCATTTTAATATGCCTCACTAGGAGGCAGAGTTTCAGGCCCCAAAGTCCATAATTTGTGGTTCTTGATCAGGGAAATTTTGATATTTTTCTTTCCTGTGCTCGGTGGTTTAAGCGGCTTTCCAAGATGAGAACCTAAGATACAGCTTTTGCAGCTGTGCCGGCATCTTCAGTTAAATATTCATTTATCATCAGTTTGGTCTAGTGGTTAAGACACCAGGGTAGAAACCTGGAGATGGTGAATTCTAGTTCTGTCTTATGCTTGAAAGCTGATTGAGTGATTGTGGGCCGCTCCACTAGGAGCTGGGGAGTTCTAGTCCCACTTTAACACTTGGCTGGGTGACTTTGGGTCAGTCACTAGGAGTTGGTGAGTTCTAGTCCCGCCTTGCATGAAAGATAGCTGGGTGACTCTGGGCCAGTCACCAGGAGACGGTGAGTTCTAGTTTTGCCTTTAACTTGAAAGATAGCTGGGTGACTCTGGGCCAGTCACCAGGAGACGGTGAGTTCTAGTTTTGCCTTTAACTTGAAAGATAGCTGGGTGACTCTGAGCCAGTCACCAGGAGATGGTGAGTTCTAGTTTCACCTTAGTCACAAAAGCTGACTGGGTGACTTTGGGCCAATCACCAGGAGACGGTGAATTCTAGTCCTGCTTTAGACATGAAAACCAGCTGGGTGACTTTTGGACTGGTCCCTTCCTCTCAGCCCAACTCACCTCACAGGGTTGTTGTTGTGGAGAAATGGGGAGGAGGAAGGGCTATTATATGCTTATGAAGTAATCAGGATAAAAATAAACCAATTTTTTTTAAAATGAAACGCAGGGCCTACACGCCCTAGCCCAGCAAAAAAGAGTTTTGCAAAATTTCACCCCAGAAAAAGGATCAGCTACCCTAGTGAGTCTCATCAATGAGGATACAAGCCTAATTCAGGAAGGATGCGCTCTTGAAGTCAGAAGATGCCCACCCCCCCCCAAAAAAAATGCAAGCTAGAGAACATTTATTATTATGCCCACTAATGCAAAGATAAGCATATTTGCAAAGGCCGGGAAAGAGAGGAAATTCGCTGGCGTTTTTTGTGCTTCCTGATCGGAGAACGCGGCCCCTTCCTTAAAGCGGCATGTGATCCTGTGAGAAAACAGCCATCCACAACCATATAGGCTGGCAAGATAAAACGTTCCAAAGAGCTTGCACAAACATTTTTGAAGCTGTCCTTTCCTGTTTTGGTCGGATTTTTCTGCCTACTACGGTATTAAATGACCCTCCATAGATTGCAGATGGGGGTTGACTGGAAGGCTTTTATTATTTTATTTTATCATATTTTATCTTATTTTATTTTATCATATTTTATTTTATCATATTTTATCATATTATTTTTTAAAAGGGTAGAACTCAACCTGGTCCACTCTGTAGAAGAGGTAGCATAAGGTTGAAATTGTAGAGCATTGATTGGAATTGCTAAAAAGGACCTGGTTTTGTGTTTTGCCTGATGTTCTGGCAATGGTAACAGATAATCAGAGTTGGACGGGACCTTATAGGTCATCTAGTCCAACCCCCTGCCCAAGTGGGAGACCTTACACTATTTCTGACAAATGGCAGTCCAATCTCTTCTTGAAAGTCTCAAGTGATGACGCTCCCACAACGTAAAAGCCCCAAGGTGGTTGAGACCAGCAAGGGAGTTTTTTGATGGTCTTCTTCCGTGCTGATTCAATATGATCTTCAACACGAGCCAGCAGGTGCAAAAAAAAAAAAAAATAGGCCAAGGCAAACCAAATGCACCGGTGCAGAATAAATGGTACCAGGCTCTATAGCAGTAACTGGGAGAGGAATCTTGGAGTCCGAGTGGATGATCTCTTAAATAGGAGCCAGCAATGTGCAGCATTTGCCCCCAAAGCCGACACAATCCTAGGTTGCATAAACAAAGGGATGGAATCAAGATCAAGTGAAGTGTTACTACCACTTTATAAGGCCCTGGTAGGGCCACACTTGGAATCCTGCATCCAGTTTTGGTCGCCCTCGATGTAAAAAAAGATGATGAGACTCTAGAAAGAGTGCAGAGAAGAGCAACAAGGAAGATTAGGGGACTGGAGGCTAAAACGTACGAAGAACGTTTACATTGGGCGTGTCTAGTTTAATGAAAAGAAGGACCAGGGGTGACATATTAGCAGTCTTCCAATATTTGAGGTGGGGGAGGGTCACACAAAGAAGAGGGGTTCAAGCTATTCTCCAAGGTGCACCTGAGGGTGTGCTTTGTCTGAAATGGTATTTTGTTGAAAATGGTATATCCTGCCTTGAACTAGAAGACTTCCAAAGTCCCTTCCAACTATTCTATTCTATTTCTATTTCTATTTCTATTTCTATTCTTATTCTTATTCTGTTCTGTTCTGTTCTATTCTATTCTATTTCTATTTCTATTCTACATTACAATATCTATTCTATTCTACATTACAATATCTATTCTATTCTATTCTATTCTATTCTCAAAGGTGCTTTGGAGTTGGAAGGGACCTTGGAGGTCTTCTAGTCTTTCCTGGCTCAGGCAGGAAATACCATTTCAGAAAAAATGGCTGTCCAATCTCATCTTAAAAGCCTCCAGTGTTGGAGCATTCACAACTTCTGGAGGCAAAGTTATTCCACTGATTAATTGTTTTCACTTTCAAGAAATTTCTCCTTAGTTCTAAGTTTTCATCCATTGCTTCTTGCACTTTGGAGAATAGTTTAACCCCCTATCCCATATGGCAGCCCCTCAGATATCAGAACCCTGCTATCATGTCACCCCTGGTCCTTCTCTTCATCAAACTAGACGTACCCAATTCCAGCAACTGTCCTTTATACCTTTTAGCCTCCAGTCCCTTAATTCTCTTCTCTGCGCTGCATTTAGAAGTGATTCATTTCAAATCAGGCCGGAAGGGATGACTCAGTCTTGTGCTAGAAGATATAAAGGCTTCTATAAAGGAAAGGTACACACTGGGCATTGCAAGATCAG